TTTCATTACAATATTAAAAAAGAAAAAAAAAGAAAAAGAAACGGTACAATTAATAAATGCACATAAAATTCAATTAATTTTATAAAAAATATTGTTACCATAAAATACTATCTAAATATACTCGTGTATATAGTATATTCTATATTCTATCATAAAACAACGATTTCAAGTAACAATTGAATTTGTAAATTCGTGCGTTTATTTCCTAATTATATTGTAATGCAAATGAGATTATGAAAAATACATCCCACATAGGATATCTATTCAATTATTAAAAAGATGGTTATGGAATATTTATTTCAAATGACAACATGCTTTTTATATCACTATAACATGATACTTTAATAAAAACAAAACATGTATGTAAGCATGATAACTTTATTACCAAGAAACTTACAGCCAGTCAATTCACATTGATCACTGGCGAAATCGCCACAAAACTAAGAAAATCATCCTCCCCGCTAACATCGGAGGTTCTTCCTGAAATCAGCTCGCTTTGAAAAATGCCATTTTGGTTTTCGTTCTTTCTGCATGGTATTCTCAGTGTTACCGAGAAAAATTAATACTATATGTATTGATCGAACTTTAATTGAATTTTTCTTGTAGTTAACTTAATATCATATATTATTAAAAATTATTGTTTAGACATTTCGAATTTTCTTTTCCGTAATGCACCATGGCCATCTTGAATCTATCGATGACAGCGCCCACGATTACAAAGCTCATGCATTAAAAATTAACTTATGTTTTAATGTTAATATAAACAGACGATAAACTAAACCGAATGTTATGGAAATTTAACAATTCTCTGTAGAGAAATATTGTAGCTCAAATCTAGACATGGTTATGTAAGGAATTTGAAACAGTGATCATGTACGTGCCACATCATACGGTATAGCTATATCATAATATATCGTGGCAATGCGAAGTATTTGCATTATTACATTTCATTTTTGTCATTTTCATTATAGTCATATATGAAACTGGTATACTTGGTATACAATTTAGTATACTAAACTACTTGGACTACTGTATATGATATACAAGAAATATATAATTTTTAAAATATATGAAAAACACAGATCTGGTGAAGTTATGCTATTAAAGAATATTTTGTTTTTATCATATGTTCATTTAATAAATTCAAATATAAGTAGCTACATTATAATTCGCCAAAGGACTCAAACATTTACTACAGAAAATTTTTATGAATATATTACGCGAAACATTTAAAAATTCATTAGTACTGTAATATGAAATATGAATATTGTGATTACATTAGTAAAATTTGAAACCAATCCAAAAATGTATATAGAAGTTATAAGATATTTATTGCAAACATATAATTGTTAAAAAATTATTTAGTAAAAATATTTAGTAAAAAAGTTATATATTTATTATAAAAAAGGTATATATTTAGTAAAAAAGTATATGGCATGAATAGCCGTTTTCAATAGATAGGTGTTAATAAATGTGTTGAAGATAGCCTTATTGAACATTGAACAATATATTCGTGATCTCTGTGAAATATATACTTGTATTAAATATCTTATAATTTCTATATATATATTTTTGAATTTATTTCGATCTTTATTAATATGATCATAATAGTTGGAACTCGTAGTCAATGAAATTTCAAATTATTTCATATAATACATCTATAAAAAATTTCTTTACATATTCAAATATTTTCAAAAATCACTGTGTGTTTAAATTTCCTCAACAAAATAGTAAAGGAAAATGTTAACTATTAACATTTCGAATTCTTTAGTGGAACCATTGACTAAGAATTGGGTAGACCGAAGATTAAATGGAGCTTTGTGTCTCAGAGTCTGAAATATCGACCAAGAAAAATATTCACTATTGATAATACAAAATCACCCAAGATGTCATATCAGGTCTATTTTGTACCTTGTTTGAGATAGTAATAGAAGAGTATGACAATTCACAATTTATATATATTTTCCAAAAATGGAACATTATTATATTATGCTGAATGGAATAGGTTGAATAAATCTGGAATGACAAAAGGAGAAGTATGTACAAATAGTTGTATTGAAACTTTTATTTTAAAATTCTAAAATATATATAACTCATAACCTTTTCAAGTTTAAACATCCTCTGAACTTTATAAAAATCTTTGACAGTTGCTTATACCGTGCTTTTTTTTATTAAATTGATTTAAAAAAAGTGTATTGCTTTATCGTACATTCATTGTTTTGAAATTTCTTTTTTTCTAAGAAACGTATTTTTCAAAATCGCATAAAATTTAGGAAGCAAAGTTAATGTATGGAATGTTATTTTCTATAAAATCATTTGTAAGTAAAATATCGCCATTGGATCCAAAAGAAGGATTCTTATATTATAAAACTAGTAAATATACATTACATTACTTGGAAACTCCATCTGGATTAAAATTTGTATTAAATACTGATAATGTTACACAAAATGCTAGAGAACTGTTACAACAATTATATAGAGAGGTAAGTAATTCAATATTCTTATATTACATTACTATAAACTCTTTTATGGGATGCAAAAATCTATAATGATATAATTAACTTTTTGCAGGTGTATTTAGAATATGTGGTAAAAAATCCTTTATGTCAATTAAATGAACCTATTCAAAGTGAACTGTTTAAGCTAAAAGTTGATGAATTATTTAAAAAATCTCCTTTATTCTTAAGTAGATCAATATAGAGTTTTTAATATTGAATCTATAAATATAATATATTTAAATATAAAAATGATTAATGATGTTATTTACTTTCTTAAATTTAATATGATATTATATGCAATTATTTACATACTAGTATTAATATGTATTAATGAAAATGCAAAGAACTAAACAAAAAAATCATAATTATAAAAATATTCTTATAATTTAAATGAATACACACTTACATTGTATTTTGTTATATTTACGAATTTACATTTATCGTAAAAGAAACAATTACTTAAACAAAATATTTTTGTAGTACATAGACCTGTGATCTTCATATAAAATATACAATAATTAACAGAATTTGAAGAAATTAACACTTGTAAAAGTATAAGTTACCTTTATGGGCTGTTTTAAGTTATTTGTATTAACATATTAAAACATGCTAAAATTGCACCGCTTTTTGTATCAACGAAATATACTTTTTTAATTTAATTTAATATTTAAACTATTATTTGAAATACGTAAAAATATTGGTAAAAATGCACTTTTATAAATGTTTCTACATTAAATTTGACTTTTTAAATATTTCATACTATATATTTAGTACTCTAGGGCGTATTTTTAAAATACGCCTTATTTAACTAAAACATCTATTGTTATTTATACACAAAGATTATATGGCAGCTTATGTCATATCTCACAATTCGGTTTTTTAGGTCCATATATCCATCTTTCTTTTTAAATTTATAAGTCTTTCATACAATTATTCTCGTTCGGACGTATGACATTAGCTCATCCAAATATTAGCAAAGTTATTAGTTACACATAAGAAACATTGAGATAATAATTTTACATAATTATATATACATATTTAGATTCTCAAGAATCTAATATTTAATCTAAAATTAAAAATTTATGAGAGGCAAAATTGTTAAAACATGATTACAATGTTCCTTATACTGATCATTAGTGATTTATGTTATACATAAATGTAAATACACTGGCAAGAAAATCTTTCAACATGCCTAACAAAGCACCTGAAATAGTACGTGTAATTCATTGGGATTAATAATAAATAAATATAAACCAAAAATAGTAAACTACCATACCTCTTTTTATAATGTTCCTTTTTGTTTTTCTAAAATTCTATAACATTCACTGTCAAGGCATGTTCATTGCCTTCAATTGCGTCCATCTATATATATTTTCATACATCAAGGTACATTTAGAAAATATTTGTGTATAAAGGTTCTTATGATACTTGTACATCTGGAAATATGACTGACAAATGGAGAAGTATTTCATGCATAGAAAATAATTGTTATCTGACATAAAATGCAACTGTATAAAGCTTTATAACTTTCCAATGTTTTATACAGTTATTTTAGTTTATATGGCGTGAAAGCTTCAATTCTTCTAAAGAATTTCATCATAGAAAAATTTTAACAAATTCGATATTTTATATTTGTGAGCGCTGTTTTGTATATGAGAATGTAATTTTTCGCATGTAACCATATTCATCAAAAAAACGTTGGCACAAAATGAAAATTATTCATATTAAATTAATTCAAAACTCTTTTATGACAAATTTGAGGCCTGTGAGTATGTGTGTGTATATATATATATACATACATACATACATACATACATACATACATACATACA